CATCAGACAAAAGGTATTGGGTGAAGAACATAAAAAGACTGCAGACAGCTACTATAATCTGGGGGTTACCCAATATGCACTTGGAGATCGCACCTCGGCCGCTGAGTTACACAAGCGAGCACTCACCATCAGCCAAAGGTATTGGGTAAAGAACACGAGAAGACTGCTGACAGCTACTGTGAGCTGGGGTTTGCCCAATTTACACTTGAAGATCACACCTGAGCCGCTGAGTCACGCAAGCGAACACTCAACATCGGCCAAAGGTATTGGGTTAAGAAAATGAGAAGACTGCAAACAGCTACCGTGAGTTGGGGATTACCCAATTTACATTTGGAGATCACACCAAGGTATTGGGTGAAGAACATGAGTGGACTGCTGACAGCTATTATAGCCTGGGGGTTACCCAATATACACTTGAAGATCACACCTCAGCCGCTGTACGCACAAGCGAACACTTATCATCAGACAAAAGGTATTGGGTGAAGAACATGAGGAAACTGCTCACAGCTACTATAACCTGGGTGGGCTAACCAATATTCACTTGGAGATCCGTGACACTTTAGCCACCGAGTCACACTTGTGGGTGTAACCTCCAAAGGTTACTAGTATAGCGGAGTAGACAATTCGAACGCACAATGTAAATCACGGTTTATTTAAACGATGATCATAATCAAAATACAAACGAGAATAAAGGTATTGGTGTGGAATCACAGATGAAAGCTGCGAATTATAGCTTGAAGGTAGCGTGGTTAAGATTGATGGCTGTAGCCAATATACCATAATCTACAAATATGGGAGGCGTACGTGTCAGCTTAAAATTAAAAGGGAACTAAAAATTTAATAAAATTTAATAATTTAAATTCAAAGTTTTTAATAAAACAATTATTCCACGAGCGCGCGTTGGATATGAGATGATAGATAGCCAACGAGGCTCGTAGCGCCGAGTTGGCTATAATCATCTCGTCAACAAGCGCGAGTGGAATAATTGTTAAATATGTTTTATTCTATGTATTCTATTTATATTTGTTTTTGATAGTTACTTTGTTAGGCTAGTTCCAATTTTAATTCTAGACTTGCATGTATTACTTACTATTCCTTAGTTTTGAGGGCCACTGGTTTGTCAGCGTAAGCTGTTATGTGTACACCCTCCTTAAAGTTGACTTACTTACTTACTTTCTTAACCGCTTCTAATTCTTATTTACATCAATGATATTGCTGATGTCCTCACCTCTCTTCATTTGATACTACACTATTTTCGAGTGCATTTTTGGCTCTGAATCGGTGAAACAATTTTTCTTATAAGGCCCAATGTATACCGCTTAACGTGTTATCGTCCTTACCTCTGCTGCTAGTATTCTAGGTGAAACATGATCGAGGAAAAAAATTTATACTATGGTGTTGAGTCTGTAAATTACGATGTCAAATGCGCTTTTTTTCGCAAAGTACAAAGTTTTAAAATCAATACAAATCGCTTTTTGGAGACCACAATTTGATTGTTTAATAATAGATCCCTAGCTTTGTAAGTTTAACGCGCTGTCATTGCAACTTGTGTGTGTTGTTTGTCCGTGTTTGTGTGAGAGCCTGAATAAATCAAATTAAATTTTATAATGGTGTAATCCCCTTAGGTTCTTTTGGGGAAAACAATGAAAAATATGTTTAGATAAAAACAAATGTGGCACTATTTTGACAAGGTGTTGCAACCAACGAGAAAAAGAAAGAAAAAGGTTGCGTCGAATACGAAATACGAGCGATCAAGAAGAGCAACAACATCGAAAGAGAACATTTTAACGTTTTGAGAGGAGAACCGGCCATGGCCGAAATACGCTGAGGCACCTGAAGTTGTGCTCTGTAAAGTTTGTTAAAAAGCTCCCTAACTCGACCGAAGTGTTCTTGTCAAAAAAAAGTATTAATTTGTGTAGGGGTGCACTTTACTTCGGTCTTATGCTTGTGGAGTAATGAAGAATGATCATAGAAAAAAAGCTTTCCATTTACTCGTCATCGTCTTTCTCATGCCTGCCTGACGTAGAGGTTTCATTAAGCGATTCTGCTAAGTCCATTTTATCAACCAATCGACACAAAACACAGAACTTTACCGAGAATACAATTTATTTTTCTCACACTTATAAAAGGTATATTTTAAAACCTTTATACAATATACAAGTCATGATTAAGGGTGGCACCTGGAAATTATCTTCCTTGCGGCACTGCCAAATGTTTTGTCAAATATCAATATTTTTTCCATCCTAAAAGACGAGTCAATTTTTTTCAGGTTCAGAGTAAGTCAGTACAACAGTAATTTCACTAAATGGAGTCCAGTGAACGCTTACGAATCGCTTGCCATGCAAATGCTAAACATTGAAAAAGTTACGTTGAGACTCGAACATCGGGTATATATTAACCAGAATTTTTCAAATTCGTCATGAATGAGGAATCCGTGTCAATCTTACACATCTTTAGCTATCTCTGTTCTTATTTCATTTGATATTCATATTTTGGTTAATATTTTGTGGTTTCTCACCCGTTAAAGATAGTTCTGGAAACCAAGAAGATGTCTTGCATTAGCTCTAAAAAGTGGAGAGTTAGGTTAGTTTATTGTTTGTGGTATCCTCTTAGAAAAAAAAAAAAAAAAAAACCCTCATTTTCAGGTATGTGGGATGCATTACTTTTGAAGACACTAGAGGTAATATTTAATCGCATTGTGGTAAAATATCTGGCTCTCTGAAATCGTAGATGAAAACCGTTGTTTATAAAACCCAGGCTCTATTAAACTAGGAAAATCCTTGTCTATAAGTGGCAATGCAAGTGGCGATACTCGATTAGTTTCAGAATTGTATCTGATTGATCGAGAAAGTGGCGCGAGTTTTCTTAACCAATCACACATCGAAGTTTAGAAAAACCAATGCAATCCCAAAGTAGTTTGGACACTAAACTGGAAATTAATCTTGATGTGACCAAAATGCTATCAGTTCACAAACTCATTCACCGCAAGAGCCATGGACACGTTGCACATGTAGTCTTTTCTGAACGAAAGAGACCAAATACTTCAAAAGGAGCTTTGGAGGAGAATCTTTGAAGGGGAATCTTCATGTCAAACAAAACAAAAAAAAATTATTTTCCAGCAACATCAAAGTATAACTCTGTCTCTTGATATTCCGTTGTAACTTGTTCTGGATCCAATACCGTCGAGTTCTCGTAAATACCCGTCATCCCTTGGAGACATCAGGTCCAAACGAACTGCTGGCTCATGAGCAGAAGCCCCAGTGTTTGCAGTGTTTAACAAGTCCGAGAGTCTTTGAGGAGGTTCCCGGATTCTATTGTACCCAGGCCGACTCTTTTCCAATTTGAGTCTCTCGAATTCGCGGTTGAGGAGTTTTCTTTCGTGTAAAAGTTGTCTTTCACGATTCAAAAGTGTAGTTACCTAAGAAAAATCAATAAAAAATGGTGGGTGCCTGATCCCTGAAATGTAAAACCACTGAGACAAAAAGTCAATTTATCAAAAAAAAAGAGAAACCTCAGATCAAGTAAAGAAACAATTCTTGCAAACAAGCACGCATTTAGTTGTGGAACAAACCATACGTAAGATGTTTTCGTCTTGTCGTAAGCGTGACAAACCAAGCATAAGAGCAGCCAATCAGAACGAAGGAAACCATAGCAAAGAGCGGATGAAAAAAACAACGTAGATTAATTTAAACTGCTCAAAGCGCGGGAAAACGCGAGTAAGGTTGTAGCGATTAGCTTTCTTTGAGAACCCGATTGGTTGAAATTGGACGGAAGTTTGTACACAAAACACACAGTGCTGAGAGGTAAAATCAATGAAATCCTTAGAACTCGGTCAAAAAACGTACTTAAAATTGTGTGATAATAATTTGAATGACTCAAGACTCAAGTGACATGGAAGTGAGCTGTTTCTTTGGTTCATTACAATTGGCCAAGGACAACGGCAAAAAGAAACCAACCAAATATATATATATAAAAAAAAAAGAACGAGAACGAAAACAAACAGAAAAGACACATTTAAAGGTTCTGCTTGATCGAACAGGATGGAGGACTACCTGTCAACATGCCAACATCATACCTGAGAGCTAGCCGCATCTGCTCTTGTTTCGGCATCAACGACCATACTTTGAAGTTTCTCATGAGAAAGCTTTGATGACGATAGCTTGGACTCCAACTGCAAAGAGGATGTATGGAATAAAGAAAGTTGGCGAAAACTCCCTAGACAGCTAGAACGGAACTTCTTCCTTCCGAGACTTCCATTCGTGGAACAAATCTAACCTTTCAATCTGTCGCCATTATTAAGGAAACTCTCTCATTTAGGAGACCATTTTTCTTCTCCCAATGTTGTCCCATCAACGGAAATTTCACCGTATGAGAGACCATAAACAGCAGAAAATGTTTGGACGCAAACTTCGACGGAAAGGCAAATAAAACAGATTTTGGCACGCACTCATATTCCTTCAGACACAAACAACAACTAAATGTATGTCCAATATTAAGAACAGAAATCGTTGTGGTTATTGGGGAATCGTACCTCTTCTCTTGCCTGCCTCTCGTCGTGTAACTGGCTGTTCAGTTCATCATTCCTTCGCTTCTGCTTGTTAATCTCTTGTCTAATAGAACGAGAAGGTAAAACAATAATGTGAACAAACGTGGCCAAGAGGCGATTCATTGTGTTTGAGACTTTTGTTCTCTTTTCTCCTTTTTTCATCTATTCTCACTTCAATGAAAGTTGTTCTGCTAGAGACTGCTACTTGACAGGCGTTAACGCTAATTCAGCCCAGATTATTAGGTGTAAAAGCGTAAGTTAGGGCTAACATTTTTGGAGTTTTACCCCTTAAATTACAAGAAGGGAATACAGTCGAACCCGTATTAAGCGATCACCCACGGGAAATGGAATGCAAGATTCCACAGAATAGGGGTATTATGAAAAACGCCTCTTAGCGCCTCTTTATGCCATAATTGACCAATTCATGAACAGAATCTCGCTTACTTTGATTTTGGGTGAGAAACGTGGATTAAAAAGTACTTGAAAGATCATACTTCATCTGAGTGGTTTGATTTTGGGAGAGAAACATGAATTAAAAATTATCTGAGTGGTTTGGCTGTAAGTGACTGTTCAATAGAACTGAAAGACAATATAAACAGGCCGTTGGGACTTAAAAAAGAATGAACGCGACCGCTAAATAGAGGTATGAAAAATTACAGTGATTAAGGCGAAACAAATTCAGGACTTTGATGACTGACCGTTTAATAAAGGGTGACTGCTTAGTACCGCGTCGCTTAATACAGGTTCGACTGCATGACTGTTTGCAAAGCAAGGGAGATTTGAAAAAAATTTAACTGAACCATATTTTTTTCCTTCGAAGTTCCCGGCAATCCGAGTAATTTTCAACCTAGCAATGTTTACACTGAATGAAAATGATTGTACAGAAGTACAAGTTACTTTGGAAACCTGAGTATGTTTTTGAATAAGCGCTATAGACTTGGAATATGGACAACACAAAGCCAACTGTTATAAGAAACGCTTAGTTAGATTTTTGTTCCTCTCCAAAGTATGATCAAGTAACGAAAATCAAAACTTACCTTAACTCATTTACTGTTTGCTCGAATTTCTGTGTTACTGCTTTAGATTCTTCTTTCCACCTGGCAGACAAAAGAGAACTACTTTTATTGTACACCTAACATCTTCACAACAACGCCAGGTGAGTAGCCATGGAGATGTGAGAGACTGATAAAATATGTTCCTGATTAAGAACGAAATTCTCCTACCAAGAACAATAAGTGATCTATACGCATTATTAAATTGCCTTCAAAACGAATAGACGAGGTGGCCGAGTGGTTAAGGCGTTGGACTGCTAATCGAATGTGCTCTGCACGCGTGGGTTCGAATCCCATCCTCGTCGAGAAGAATCCTCATTTTTTAAAACTTAAACTAAACCTTAATCTTGCTTAAAAGCTGATAGATTAAATACAGGAAAAATGCCTGTCGTCTTAAAGCATCATTCCAATTAAGTTGACCTTACATTACAGCACAAGTCAGAAATAACATGCTTCACTAACAAACAGTTTTCAATTTCCTGTCACTGTTTTATTTTCATAAGCCAAGTTCAATCTAGACATGGTTTGGCGATGTGAAAAGGTTATCAAAAAGGGAAAAATGAATTTTTATATCACATTAAAAAAAAAGTTATACTTCAGACAGGACTGCCGACTAAACTGAATTCTCTCATCCACATTTTTATAGTGCAACGCTTTGTGCATCCCCATTCACACTGGAGATATTTTACTGTAACTACGGCAATCAACAATATGTTATGGGAAACGGGTACCTGTGACATGCGCCATAAACCTTACGTTAATGACACGGGAGAGGGGAAGTTGAGGTGCTGCCAGCAATGGCTGACAAGGATCCCATCCAGGGGTGGGAGTGGAGAAAAATTGAGTATATCTGTGTAACGTACTGTGCTCCGAGTTTTTGTTGTCCGTTCAGCATATCCCTGAGTTCATTCACTGACTGTCTGTTCATCTCCTCCACGTTTCGTAGCCGCGAATCAAACTCTCTTTCACGTTGCTCAAAGCGTTGGTTGAGCGATGAAACCTGAAAAATGATAGAGACTTATGTGAAAAAGATACAGCGCAGAAAAACTCTCTACAGCCAAAAGATTAAGAACAATAAAGGGCACCGGACAACATCAACTGAATCATTTTCTATAAAAAGGAAAATTGAACGAGCCTTTTCGACTAGCAACGACTTTGACACAATTTCGCCACCATTCAGAACTACCAAAGACTTTCGATTGGTCGACTAGAACAATGTGAAAACGTCACAGAAACAGACGTCTGTCCATCCCTTTTTATTTGTTTGGTTATTTTTTTTGATAGTAGTGCGAAGAATCACAAAGTGGGAAAGAGACTGTGAAACAGGCGAAAAGAAAAAACCAATGAATAGAAAAATAAAAAACGTTCGTCCAGATTCTCTTGCTCCCCTCCCACTCCGTGGGGTTCACGTTCTTTAACACCCCCCCTTCCCATCTTATTTCGCTCGCGCTCTCAACGATACCCCAAGAGAAAACACTAGTTCTGTGGACAGAATACAGGAATGGCGGAAATTATTCAAGAATTGTATTTTACTGTAAAGGACAGCTTTCAATTTATATTAAACTGCATAGATCCTGCATTAAGTTACGAGAGGGGTAACAAAAACTTTTTACGGAATACCTCCAAAGTGCACTGATGTTCGGCGGCCTCTTTCGCTTGTTTAGCTTGGAGAAGTTCCCGTTTTTGCTTGTCTATTTCACCTGATAGACAAAAGATATGGAGTTTATGGGAAAATGTTCTTTAATCCTCAAAACACGACGTCGTATAATCAATTTTTATCCTCTTCAAATTATTCTACAAATTAAAATAAATTTATTCGTAATCGCCATTAAGCCGGTAACATAGTCCAGTATGCTTGGGGGGAGGGTGAGGAGACACAAGAAGGGGGGAGAGGAATTGGAAGGGACAAGCGCAAAGACAATTGGTTAAATTTGTGTGCAACATAGCAAAAAAATACTTCACCTATCAGTTGAAGTCTATTGTCGGATATCTCTTCATTTTCTTCTTCCAGTTGTTTCATTCTTCTTTTAAGTTCGCCAATTTCGGAGACACCCTGAGATTTTTCCTGTTCGTGTCTATAGGCAAAAGGTATAAAAAAGGGGTTTGAACTTAGCGAAGCCGTTAAAAACAAACTCAAGATAGCCGAGAGTGCGAAAACTGAGAGCTCTAAAAGATTCATAACTAGGAAAAGATGGAAAAAATTGAAAAGGTGAAGGAATACAACTCATCTTCTCGGGAGTAGTTGTTTGAAGCGCGGATAACACCTTTCAACAGATAAATCCCTATCTGAGGAATAAGTGTTAACACAACGTACTGCACTATCCATCGGATAAAGATTTATCCAGTTAACCGCCCTTGCAACAACCGGGACCAGATCACTGAAAAATCACCAAGCTGCAATATATTATTACTCCGTATAATCTTTATTATTAAAAACTGGATAATTGGATAACGCAATTCAAGACTTTTTATTGGCTTAGCCATTATGGTTTATGAGCCAATATACCATAATCTACAAATATGGTAAGCGTACGCGTCAGCTTAAAATTAAAAGGGAGCTAAAAAATTTAACAACAGTTAATAATTTAATTTAACGTTTTTAATAAAACAATCATTCCACTCGCGCTTGTTGGATATGAGATGACTATAGCTATCTATCATCTCATATCCAACGCGCGCTCGTGGAATTGTTAACTAGATTCGAATTCACGTCTGTCTGATTTATCACAAAAAACAACAATAACAACAAAAAAACAAATAAAACGACGTGAAGTATAATCACTGAATTTACTTCGTCTCTATCTTCCTAAGCGTGGAATTGAGGCTGTCTACTCTCCGTAAAGCCTCGTCCCGGGTTCTCTCGGCCAATCCAGTTCGTTTCTGCAGCTCTTCAAAAGTCATCCCAGCCCGCGCAATCTCAGACGGACCTTCTTGGTAGAGCTGCCAACAAAAAGTGTCATAACATTTGCAATCGTGAAAGTTGAGCGAAGAGAACTCTGTATATCTGGTTCACTCTTAACTCAAGGGGTTGGCCAACCCTGGCAAAAGGTTATTCAAGTGTTCTGCTATTCAAAGCAAATATCAGAATGTAGTTCCTTGAAATACAGTTTCCTGCTATAACAGAAAGAGCTTTGAGCAAAACTAACCTTTTCAAGTTCTTTTTCCACCGCAGCCTTCTCCCTGAGTGATCTCTCTAACTGAGCTTGTTTCTCAGCTCCCTCCTGGAGAGGTACAGACCATTACAATGTTATTTGATATGGAAGACTTTGCAGGTTAGCGCTTCTAATTTTCCCGACTTGCTTCTGATCAGTAGACTACTTAAAGTGTTTGATACGAAATTGCCATGTCAGGTTTTTTTTAGCTGATAAGGTGTCGTTTGGAGAAAAGGCAAAGTAAAAAAAACGACGTTAACATGTTTTAGAGGAATTTGAGTAGAAAGAATACCACTAGGGCAACGATAACGCGTGACATAATTAGGTTTACCGTGATTGTGTGACGACAGACCAAAAAGAATGTCACACAATTATATAAAACATTCCCCACGCAAATAAAATGGTATCCAATAAGGCATCTAAACTTGAGAATAAACTCTTGATATCATTTAAAAAAGAGAAAAAAATAATTGCATCGAGTTAAAATACAAAAGATCCATATTTAGCCGATAGTTATACGTTACTGTTCCTTGGCATGTAACTACTTCAAGCGACAGCCGATCACAGCCAGAGCTTATTCATCAAATTACCCGGTAAAGAATGGCACTTTCAGGCAGAAAATAATCTGTAATTGAAATCTGAGCATTCTACAAGTGTCATAACGATAGTAAGAGGGTAGAAAAACTGAAGCGATTTGTCAAAACCAACGAACGAATGTTTATAGGCGTATTATGCAAATAACTTGACAACGCGTCCAGAAAGAAAAGGAATGGAAAACGATGAAAATTGTCGACACATCAGAACCGAAAACGAATTTTGATCATAACATAATAAAAGAACAAATAGCATTCACGAAAATGCCACAGAAAACTACATCTGCGCGATCACTCAAAACACCGGAGTACACTCGTGAAATAGTAACTAACCAAAAATCCTCCAAAATTCAACAGAATATTAGATATTTTAAGAACAAAAGCGCTGAATTACCGGATAATATTCAAAGATCCACTTCTTATCTCTTGCGCGGACCGGAGAAGTTTCCATATCGCCAAAAGAATGGTCTAAAAGCGGTTAGTCGTTCTCCATTTTATACCTAAAGCGACTTTACCGCGTCCCTCGTGAAATGTCAATAAAAGGCTTTCAAATGCGAGTGGCATGTTTGATGTCATCGGCAAATTAACTGGCTTATATATTAGCCCGCACAGTTTAGTAGAATTTTCCGGGAACGTTTTAGAATTCTTTACACATGATAATAAAAATTCTTAAAGTATAAAGAAAATAAAGAAGATAATTGAAGTAGATTTATACCTGGACAAGAAATTGATTACTGAGAAATGACCCTTTGTTGTCGGCCACAACAGTGATATCGCGTAAATCAACTCCTAACGCTTGGGTGATTTCAAACAATGCAGCTTATTGTCACTGCGCTTTTCAGGGGATGAAGAGTGTACAAAGCAGGGAGGGACTATTTTATTGCCCTGTTGGGTGCTAGTGGTAAATACAAATCGCGCAATTTTGTGAAACAACTTTTCAAGCTAGTACCACTCATAGAAAACCACACGACAAAAAATTTAACTTCCCTTTCGATATTTCGTCCACCTGTACACCCTCAAGCGGCGAGGTTTATCAAAACCCGTTCACCAAAGTAAAAGTAGTCTATTTGAATAGCCTGCAGAGCAGTCGTGATTTTGGCGAGTGAGAGCTCAGTACTTTCTGATGAAAATTATATTTATTTTAACAGCAGCGGAAGGCTGGGGAGAGAAAGAAATTTCTACCAAGGGGGTGAGCGACGGTCAAAAGGAACGACAGGAGAGGGGTGGGGTATTAGAAATTTTCTTGTCTTTCCCGCCTCTTTCCTCCCAACCCGTCTTGTTAGACGCATAAAATGTTCATCTGAAGGATTGGAAGAGGTTCTTCACGTAATGCGACTCTTCGAACTCTCTTTATTTTGTACCATTAATTTTAACTCACCAATTCCAGAAAATGCATCTCCTCCATTAGCTTCTGGATATTTTTGTTGCACTGATTCCGGACAGAATCGACCTGGTAACAAAATCAAAGTCACATCAATATGTAACTCGACTACAACACAAGTACAGGTCCAATACTATCCAATGATACTTTCAACGTTGGGCAATTTCGACAACGCTGCACCTCTCAATATGCTGTGCGCTCATCAGCAGCAAGTTCTCTGCAGCTAACGTGGTATACACAGCATGCGTCTGAAAAACTCACTAGTTTTCTTCGTCCCACCAATATTAAAAAAAACGAATGTATAACATGAAGATGTTACTCAATTTTTCAAGAAAGTTGGACATAGAAAAAAAAAGATCTCTACGAGACAGAGCTGAATAACGTATACGCATGCGCTCGGTTTTGCCGATGGATTTTGAGTTGTTTGCCTGGTTGATTTCCTATTCTGTTGCTTCGAGGCGTCGTTTTCCTTGCCGCTTTTCTTTTACAGAACAACTTCCAAAAACTTGGTACACCCCCTAAAAATGTTCAAATATTAATTTCCTCCTTAAAACCTCTGGAAATAGGAAAATGCCTTCGACGAAAACAGAGTTCCTCGGTTTTAAAAGTTAGCTCTTATTATTTTCTGCTAATTTCACTAAATTTTTGGACCCAGGACACTTGAGCCCGCGTTGTTGACCGCATACCCTATGACGTACCATTTCATTATTCAGCTCTCTCTCTCCACGAGGGATTGAACCTCAAATTTCTGAAGCTTTACCGCTGACCCAAAGAAAACTCTAAGGTGAGTAACGCCATCAATAGCCCATTGCAGAAACGTGAGAGGACTGGGACGAGTTTCTTATATTGATTACATTGAAAATCTAAACATTTCAACTGAAATGTTAGTGAACGAAAAGCTACCAAGTCAAGTTTGAGAGTGTTCAGCGGAAAAGTGTCTTGCGAAAGTTGCAAAAATTCCATACAAACTCTTAAAATTTTTTGGCCTGTCTACCCAATCCATAAAAACTCTATTTTAGGTGATATTTGAAGAGCTGTCATTTTGCCATTTTCCTCCTCTAAATACTTCTATTCTTGCCTAAGATTCTCAAATTTAGTTGATCTTTCACTTGAATATCTTAGTTTTTCAAACAAATGGAAAACAACCACACTCTTTCTCAGTCCTCTCACGTTTCTGCAATGGGCTATGGACTCGTATGTGATAAGCTTCCCGTTTACTTCTTAAGGACTTAAGATCAGCAGCGACTCAAGAAATCGCGTTAATTTGAAAGGGTGGAAATATTGTTATTCAATAAAAAAAAATTTCTTTATTTTTTAAGTCACCATATTTTCTATTCTTTTCGCGCAATGTTTAACATACTTCTTCATTTGAAAATTGTGTATCAAAGCAAGAAAACAGGTAATATTTGAGATTCAGTGCTCCTTACACTTACCTCTTCTCTTGTCCTTTTTCCAGCTTCTCTGAGAATCTTATTAATGACTTCTTGTAGCCTGCTTATTTCTTGTGTTTTCTGTTGCTCTCGGACAAGGGCCTGGGAACAAACCAAAAGGTTGATCTATTGCACGTGCAAAGTGAAAAAAAAAAAAAAAACAAACAAAAAAACAAACAAAAAAGCGTGCAGTATTTGCGCGTAATTGTCATCTTTCAGGAAACTAATTAAGGACACAAAAATTTCATTTCTGCAGTCTGTCGCAAATTCTCAAGCGGATTCCAATGTATTTCACCATCCAGTTCATCATTCATACAAAAAAACAATAAAAACCAAACCTCGATTTCGTCTTGTATTTTTTAAACCAGAGTTCTTTATAGTCTTCTTCTGTTACATACCTGGTCTCTCTCGAGTATAGCGTTTTCCACCATCTGCACACTGTCTTTGACGTGAGCAATAGCCTCAAACTCACGCTGTTCCTGATCAGAACTAACAAAGCAAAACAAAACAACAAAAAACAACGCACTCAGAATAAAGTTCGTTTGCGGTCGTCAAGTTCACTATGATAAGCACGAGCATGGTGCGCGTTTGTCACGTGTTCTGACTGTTTTCGAATCGCAGCCTGTCTCTCCCGACCCCCTTGCCCAGGTACCTTCTTTTCTGTAAAACTTCTAATCTTTCTTCTAGCTCAGTTTTCTCTGATCTGAGCCGTTCGAGTTCTTTGAGCGTCCCGGAGAGCCTACAAACAAAAAACATGAGAGTTACTGAAAAAAAAAAAAACAACAACAACTGGAGACAACAGAGTCATTATTCGTTCGCAAAAAACAAAACAAAACAAAACAAAACAAAACAAAACATGGTTAGTTTGTAAAGCAAGGAAGAACTAGAAAGAAAGAAAGACATTGAAAACATCAACAGCCAGGGGGTGGACATGAAAGGAAAATTTTAGAAAGATACAGAGAAACAAGCAGTACGACGTAAACAAAATACCCGAGGTTCATTCTAGAAGAGCCAATTTCAATTGAGTGTTAGAACCAATAGGGAACCGCGTTTGCCTTAGTAGATTAAGCATTGTAATTGGTCTAGAAATCGGGCACCACTTTTACAACCAATCAGATAAAAAGACTTATGCCAATCACGACTTCGTCACTCGTGTTTTTCCCGCGCTCGACGCGGTCTTCTCTTTGCGCCATCTTTGGCTCCTCGCGGTATTTTCCTTAATTCTGATTGGCTGCTGTGAAAAGTGTCAATGGAAGCGCACATTAGTTTGAACGCCCTATAAAACAGTTTCAGTCATTGTTTAGGAGACAACGTTAGGACACATTATCATACTCAAAAATAAAAAAATGATCTAAGACACCTATACGGGTAATGTTGTAAAAGCCAAAATACTCTTAGAAGCCTTACATGTTTAGTGCACCATTCCTGGAGACATTTTCGGTGAAGCGGTAAGTAAGAAAACGGGACAAATATTTGATGCGGTTCTCAGGCATAATAGTTGTGATTGGCATTGTTGTGACTATGACGTATTTAGACGTGTAATTGATGTACGCTGATTCGAAAGAAACGCGCTTTTAAGTTGCATTGTCCGTTCACACAATTAAATAAAGAAACCGGAAAAAGGACGAGCGGGCAAGAGAGAAAGAAAAGAATGCAAGGTAAAAAGATATATTACCTCGACTCCAGTGCAATAAGAGTGGTTTGTAGTTGTTCCATCCGAGTGTCGACCACAGGTAGGTCTTTATTACCTCCATCGCCTCTCTCTCTATCCTGCTAGAAGACAGGTTGGGTAACATCAAACTACAGCATTAAATACAAAACTAATCTGCAATGTCTTCGTTTCCCGCGTTTTGCGCGAGGAAGGAACGTGCGATCATGGCAGGCTCCGCTGAAATCCTCCAGCAAAGGACACCGTATTTTGAGTCAGGTTGATACGGTCCTGATTACTGACCCTCACTCTTATTTGTCCCTCCATTATCTCCTGCGTTCTGCGAAGTTCTTCATTCTGCGCTCTGGAGTTTTTCAACTCAGCTTTGCACCTCCTGTCACGTAAAAAAAAGAGACGTGTCGTTGGGAAAGAGTCAATACTACTTCGCGAAATTAATTCTTCAATTGTTAGAACAGTTTTGAATTAAGCGTCAGAAGTAATCCGAGACTGACATAGGATTGCACTGATTATTCTTCACTACGTTCTGTGATTGGTCAAGAAAATTCGCGTCACCCTCTCAATCGATAAGGTTTAAAACTGAAACCAACAGCGACCTAGTAGCTGGCGTTTTCCCGCTCTTTAGGCAGTGTGCTCGTTTTGAGTTCTCATGGTTCTTTGAGATATCTTCCTTGCTCTGCGCGGCTCTTGTGAGTTGTTTGGTGTTAGTTTAACGACATTCAACTGAAATACACTGTACGCTGTAAGTCACGAAATTTGTAAAAAAAATAGGATTAAATTTCATTATTTCACGATTCTAAATGAAGTCCGTAGTTTTCGTTTTTGTTTATATTTGCTAAACTTCATATGGAAGTAGAAGGTTCAATTTTCAGCCGTAAATTAATTCAGTTAGGCACACTGCTTCACCGTACGCTGTACATGTGATCTACGAGAAAATACTGTTTTCTGCGAGACAGCTGTGACAACTGTAAGGACACTGACATTGCAGTCGGCGGTCAGTTTGATTGTAAAATAAATTTATGGTAGATTACTGAACTGTTCCGTTCAAAGTCTTCATAGATCGTTGTATAGTACTGGTGAACTTGAGACCTGTAAACTGGTGTGTGGATCGCAAAAATTCCGCAACACCTGAGAAAATTTTCAGTTTGACACTGAACGAATGAATTTCATCCAACTGGATTTACAACTGAGAATCAGAGTAGTAATGCTGAACAAACCTGAGATCATTCCGTACTTCGTCTATTTCCTGATCTTGGGTCTGAGCTGTAGCGAGGAATTTTTCATGTTCCTAAAAATATGAAAACAGAGACAAGATTTCGGGATAAGAAGATAAGTTCTGCTGAGATTTTTCTAACTCACTTCTATATTTCTTAAATTTCACTAACTGAAGTGGAAATGACAGTTTGTTTGCCTGAAAATTTTTTGATATTTTAGGCCATGCAGTTACAGTGGCACTCATTAGCTAAAAGGCCACGCAAACATCAAATATTATGTTCTCGAACCATCTGGTTTCAATTTAATCGTGTGAGGAAAAGATATTCAAAATTTAAGATAAACGACCACTTACAAACTTTTATAAACAAAGACTAATTAACGTATATCTAACAATAAACTTGACAAAGATATGTTAATTTTTTTTTCTTAAGGATCAATGATTAATAATGAAAGAGAGTGGCGACGCTCTCAGTAAAAATAACAAGAAAAAAATGGTCGTTTACATAATCGTTCAACAATATTTTGAGAAAGCAGTTTTACTTTTCGGACTTCGTGCAGACTTGAATTTCCACTTTTTTCGAAATCAAATTCTGAATACCAAGGCAAATTTTCACACATTCGTAAAAGAGAAATAAAATTCTCGTTACAATTCAGTGCAATTTAATCTCTTTCAGTGCAATTGCAACCGGAAATTAAAACATAAATTAAAGACAAAGTCGTATTCTATACGTATTGTAATTGACCGATCACACGACACGTCTAAATCAACCACGAAGGTGATTTTATTCCCCGTTTGGAGTTAGCCGCCATTCACTGGTACTTTTAAACTAAAACGAAACAAGACAAGACAACAAAAACTTTGCTGCATTATATCGGCTTTGTTGATACAAGGTTTTAGTACATGACGTTATGGTAAGAGTTATGACAGCCTTCTCTGCGCAGGGGGGGAGAGAAAAATCCTAACTCAGATTGTAAGAAGCACTACTTAACCTTCTTGTAATGGTTAGGAAAATAAGTCAATAACCATCATAAACTAAAACAAATCATTTTGTCTAAGTATTAGAAATGATAGTGGAAATTGAGCCTGACTTCCTTGTGACCCAACCTTGTCCACACTCTGGGAACAAGATCGAAGAAGTCCCACCCCTCCCTACCTCTTAAAATATTCTCACCATTCTTAACTTTCTGTTTATAGACTGAAGTTCCTCAGCAAATTGCCTGGCTTTGTGAAGATCATTCTATAGGATTAAGAAAACAAGTTCAATGTGCATCCACAATGAAGCTTACACGTACAAAATTGTACACAAGCACAATAAACACAGTGCTGTTTAGGATGTAATATCACTGACATTGCACAGCAGCTGATGTTTCAGTGACGAATAATATCCCAAACCCAGCACAGGAAACAATTCGTAAAATTAAATAGACAAACTCCAAAGCACACAAAATAATGCTGCATTTAGGAAATGTTGCTAGGTGTGTTCTACAGGCAAGGACTGCCTAGCAATTACTAACTTTGGACTACTCTTTAATTCACTGTCAGTGCAAAACTACGTTAAACTTGCAGGAAACTACAAAACAATAGCTTGATAAGTAGGATGTGACAAAAAAAAAAACCCCAACAAATTATGAACAAATAAATAAGGATAGCCTGACTACTACACAGATAAGGATAAAAAAAAATAATGAAACAATTTCAAATAATGGCCTTGAAAATTCAAGGTTGACCATTCAACTCCCATTAGATCTGTTTGTCAATTCTCCTCTCTTCCTGTTACACATTTCGTTGTAAATAAGTTAAGAATTTGGTGTTAGATGAGAATAACAAGCTCTAACTGATACGTTTTAGTATTCTCATTACCTGTTTGCTGGATAACGTAGATATATTATCGGGAGAAGTTTCATGTTAATCACTTCTGGGAGTTAAAAGGCTAATCTTCAAAATACACCTAACATGACATGAATCCTCTATAAGGAACTACACTGAAAGTTACCTGCAAGCTTGTCATAGCCCTTGTTCTTCCCTTCAATTCGCCATCTTTTTCCTGCAAGAGATAAAATTCATGCTGGCCTCTTTTTTTACCCAGTAACAAGAGAGAATTCATGTGTATAACTTTGAAATCTAAGATGGCAGAAGACACATTACTTACTCTTTCAATTTCCTGAAGCTTTTCCAGTTCACCACAAGCATTTTGCCACAATTCCACATAACTGTCTCTTTCCTTTGATCCAAAACAACCAACAAAGTTTGAACCTTGGTCAATAGTAGATCTTTTACTAAACTTGTCATCCCAAGCTCTCTTCCTCCAAACTGTAAAGCCCTTTGCCTAAGACTAACAAATCCCTTATAGCCCCCTTCTACTAAGTTCCTCCCTACTATAACAGTAGTGCTGCAGTACAAAAATACTTTCATAGTGAAAAGCCTGCTCTACATGTAGTTTTTATTTTGAAAATGACAAGTTCTCAGCAAAAGAATTAAAATTTGTACACAGTCCTCATCAAATTTAAGCAACAATTCAGAGGAAAAATAATGACTCCCATTAAAACTCCAAGTAAGTTTTCAATAAGGTTCCCTCTCTAGGAAGTCCCATCCTTCTAATATTAGCTCCCTCTATAGGAAGCCCCATCTCTCTGGAAACCTTGAAACAGACCATGTACAGACTAGTTATTGTAACAATTAAGTTGGTCTCAGTGGATTACTACCATGGCTGGAAAAATGATTACCTGTGAGAGTAGCTGAAGCTGATGTCGCATGTTCTCCATCACTTCCTTCTCAACACCACTACCTTCACCTTGACGCACCAAATCCATTTGCGCCTCAATGCTTCTTCTTAATTCCTCGTGTAACCTTTTTTTTTTTTAAAAAGAGAAATGTACAGCAGATCAGGAATCAACATATAGATGTGCCATCAGACAATGTTGGCAAGGAGCAAAACGAAAACAAAATGAAAGGTAAGACCACACCTTGTGTTTTCTTGTACAACATGATCAGTCTTTTGCTTCAATGAAGACAATTCTTCCTAAAATCAAAAGCGAAAAACACATCAACATAAACAGTTGAAATACGTTTAACAAACATAAAACAGTGCTTGTTAATCCTGTGAAATACGCATTCATTAGGTAATTAACTTGAAACTGACCTAGAATGAGATAAAACAATGTTACAAATTTTGGAAAGTCTAAACAAATCTTTTATAATCAGGGTTTGGTGCCACAAAAATTGTTTTAAGCTGCTTCTGACTCACCTTGAGGAACAAGGCCTGCTCCTGTGAACTTTTGATGTTGTTATCATACTCTGCCAGAAGTGGGGATAAAATGCTGAAACAAACAGAAAATTTCAAATGTGCATCTGTAAGCCTTGACATATTTAAGTTGGCTATACTATTGGAAGTCATAAAAACTCAACTTTTCAAAGAAAGTCTCCAACATGACATGTTACTTAATATGCCATCAAGCAGGTAACAGTGGGTGGGGGAAGGGGTTTGGAACACTTTTGGTGGATGGGAGGGGAGGGTGGAGGAGGACAAAAAGAGAAAAGGTATTAATTAAAAGAATTATATAGAATTATGTCCAATAGATTTCTCAGACAACTATATTTAATTTAGGGCAATTATGAGAAAAAGAAAAACAGATTGTGTTTAATGTGCAGAAATACATTAATGGCCATAAATAAAATAATGATAAAGGTATTACTGCTTGTCTCCTAATTTGGTCACTTCCAGATTATATCATAATGTTCTGACTACAAGAGACAAGTCTTGGTCAGGCTATGAGGTCAACTGGTGCAACATGTTATGATTCAAAGCATTACATGAATACACAAGATAGAAATAGGAAACAAGCTGACTCTTTCATTCTTGAGATCAAAACAAACCCTAACCTGGAATTTGTAATCCATGGAGGAAGAGGTTCTGCTCCCTTAAGGAAAGAAAAGAAAAAAACAAAAATTTAAGAATAAAAATAATGATAATACTATAATTATCACATTGCAATCTCATATGTTGTAACAAAGTGTTGAAAAGTAAAATAATTTGATTTTTTGGATAGCTAATACCTCATTCAGATGTCCAATCCATTCTCTAATTAACAGAAACTAAGAGCAAGGAATACATACTAAATATGATTCTATTGTAAAATTCTGATTTTATAAACCTCATCGGACAAAGAAATCGGTTTAACTATTTATAAGAGGGATCCAAAAATAGGACGGTGTAAATATATCTTATTAACCAAGCGCGAGGGCCGCACTGGGAGAATATCGGCCTGAGGTCCGTACAAAAAAGACCGAAGGCCGATATTCTTCCAGTACGGTCCCGAGCAAGCTTGGTTAATAAGAGATTTATTATACGACTGAAGTTCAAAGGGACACAAGTGCGGTATCATTCGGAACCATTCAGGACAGTGCCCAGTCCAATACTTAGGGAATATTGGACTGACAATGTAGCATTTTGATTGGTTGATTTTAGTTATTGGCCTCTGACTGCCCAAGTCATGTAATAAAAGCACTTTAGTAGTTGACCAGAAAAAAACAAACAGCATTTATTGGAGAGATCAGGAGTCTTCTGTGTGAGGGATTCTAATAAACTTTACCGTTACGTCTGGTTCTTTAACAGGCAGATATTTCTTTTGATATTCCTCTAGTACAGCATTTAGTCTCCTCACTAAAAGATAAGTGAACAATACTTAATCAATGTTTGGTTGTCTAGTTACAGACTTGTTCATTAATAAGTGAACATTTTAAAGTGACTTCCTTGTCGACAGGAAGTAATTTATCCTAATTCTTATGGTTGCAATTGGTACATACTGGTCTTTTCTTTTGATGAGTGGAAACAGGTGAAGAAGCAAGTGAGCAAAAGAAAAAAGCAGGAGTTAGGAAAAGCAGTCATTTCCCTGACAAATGCAACTTTCATTGGGTTGATTACCCACTCTTTTACTAGTCTTCACTGACTAACTGCATGGAACAAGCCAAGTTGCAACTAGGCCCTGAAGCCACTTGAGCTTTGGACTTAGCAAAGGAATGGCTCCTTGGAGAGCCTGTGGCTGTGTGGTGACTTAACATGCCTCTCAATTGAAAGATCTGCATTTCAAAGCCCTTGGACAAGGACAAGGTCCTTTAACCTTTTAACTCCAAGAAGTGATTAGCATGTGACTTCTCCCTTTGCTATCCCTACATTATCCTGCAAACAGGTAATGAGAATGCTCAGACTTATCAGATAGCAGTTGATATCTTGATGTAACACCTAATTCTCCTAACTGAATTACAAGGAAATGTGTAACAGTTAGAGGGGAGAATTAACAATTAGATATTATAATTGGGGGTTGAAGGGCTGACTGCAGTCACACTGTGCTTCTCCATAATCAACAGAATAAACAAATACCAGCAAATTGTTATGGCACATCGATGAAATGACAACCACTAACCCAACCATGAAATGATATTCCCTAAATGGCAAGGGAATAATGATAGAACCATGATACAACTGAAACAGGAACAAGCTGTGAAATGAGGGGACTACTGGCCCACAAGGTGGCCCTACCTTTCGTGGTTGACAAAAATGATGAAGAAATTATTTTCTTCATTACTTTGTGTATATATGTTATATCATGCATGACACAAACATAATGGTTGGAATAACCATTTGAATTTGTGTTGATTTAATCATTAAGTTAACAGCCTGACTGTATCTCTGACAGAATGACGACATTTGCGTTCTGTACAGCATCCTGTTTATAGTCATCCTGTATAGCATCCAGCTTTATTTCGATTGATTGATACTTACTTACATATATAAACAGTTTAAGGTTAATTTATTTCTGTACACTGTATTTCCAGTAAGTGTGAAGCTTGTTTACAGTCTAACTGAACTATTGCTGCATGCTTCTGCTCTAAATTTTCAGGGCAGTAATTAGGGTAGACACGTAATTACCCTTTGATAACCATAATAAACTTATCTGCCCTGGTATATCCTGATATCAGCAGTTTTTGAAAGCTCTCTATCATAAAGCAACAAGCAGATGTAATTGTCATTAATTCTGGAAAATTTTGATTCGGGTTTCTCCAGAACTTGAAGGCACCCTTAGGCTAATTATGGTCGTTTTATATCGCAGAGGGACATTTAAAATTAAAAATCTAAACATCAACAGGTGGTCTACTGAAAGTTCAGTCATGCATCCTCCCAAGTATACGCCAACCATTCATACTGTCCTCGTTTATCTGAATAAACAATTATGTGTACCTTGATCTTGTAGAAATTTGATGTAATCTTCATCGCGTACTGTAGAACTCATAGCGACGTGAAGGTCAAGGTCGGAAGAATACAATTAGATTCTCAAAACGTTTGGCTAAAAGCCTCTAAAAACTCTTACAGTGGAGGCCATATTCATTCCCAGTGCAGCTGTTGTCAAAATCACAAGATCTCTTCAAAGCGATCAAAAATATGCGACCAAACTTTGTAGTAAACATAAAATATCCATTAAGCTAGAAAGACGCCATTTTCGTTGGTAGGTTAATCCTCTATCAACCAATCAAAACTGATAACATGAGTAAGAGCTCATTGGTCAGTTTAAATCACATGGTACTTTTCTTCCTTCTAATTGGTTCTTTCTTTGTAAACACAACAGTTCAAATTTCAGTGGCATTAAAATAGTTTTTCCCCATTTTTGAAAATATTTCCCTTAAGCCGTTTTTTCTTATCTGTCTAAGGATACTGAACACAAAAGGGTTTACCATAAATCATAACTTGATTCCTTGCCACTCATGTCTTTGTTACAAATGATAATGCTGAATGTCTTTTCATATTGGAGTATTTTTGAGAAATCGCCTACTTTAGATTCGTCCCTCTTTTAGCAAAAACAGGAGGTCGGTAGTAAAAGGAAGCAGTAATGAATGTTTCTGGTACTTCATATTCACTACTACATCTGCGAAAAAAAGTTTCAAAAGAGAATTACTTAAAAAAAAAAATCTCGCGGGAAAATAATTAACGTGAAGTCGAGGCAACGGATCAAACTTTCCTTGTGATTGGTTTATTTTTAAAACACTGCTGCAACGAACAACTTGGAACATCGTGTCGTTTCCCAATCAAAAGCACATTTTTGCACGACATCTGCACGGCTTGCTTTATATCTTTATTCTTCAGTAGTTACTTTGTTATAAAACATGTTCTCCAAATCCAAGAGATTTCAAGAGCAAGGTAAGCAGTAGAGAGGAATTTTGTCTTCTGAAGGAGTTTTTCTTATTGTTCGGTTTGCCTAGAGCTTTTCCTGTCCGCCTTGATATTGTATAGTTTCTGAATTAGAAACTCTATTTATGGGCTTTAAAGTAAACGATAGAGTTCTTTAATTCCTTATGATCTCGGTATGGATTGAAGAATAACGCTATTCCTTGCCCTAAAAACAATTGAGCTTTAAATTGGACGTGCTTGCTAGTTGTATGAGTAACTAATTAAACTGTTGCGGCCGTTCTGTTCGGCGAAAATAAACTCTGATATTGTTCCCCGCCGTGTTGTCTTGTGAGATTCTACGTATCAATGAAACTAAGACATAATATCAGTTTAAAAATGGACTTGTCAAATGGAAATCAGGTCCAGTGCTAGCAAACGTTTTAAGAGTGTTCGAACAAGGTCAGCCATCTTTCTACATGATATTTTTGTGGAGAATTTTGAATCAATTAGAAGGGTATTTCCTCATAGTTTCTCAGGCACCTCCTGTTGGATCATATGATGTGAAGAATCAAACAAAAGGATCTGCAGCGGCTGGATTTGGCAAGGGGAAGAGATTTGCTGAATTGAAAGGTAATTCTTATATTTTATGTAGACGCACAATAAACAGCAAAACAAGCTGATATCCGAGTGTAGAGTTCATCACAAAATAATATTTATGTGCGACACGAGGTCTTTTATCAACATATTATCTCATATCCAGGAATTATTCACCCTAAGACTGAAAAATTCCTTGAATCAAAGTCTCATCAACATTTTTAACTGATACCAAATGGGTAACTTTTGATGTTTGGGTGATACATCTATTGGGAGACTGGGTATGAGAGTTTGGAGTGGAGATGGACTTGGGACTACCCTGCGAGCAGAGTCTGCTATTACAAGACTCTGCTCGCAGCCTAAACAAGAGACTCCTTACTTAAAAATGAAGTAGAGTTTAACTCATTTTGTACTGCAAATTCACTCTTAGGAAAGAGTTCCATATAACCCCATACATTAATTATGTATTCATTTCATAAAGACCAAATATAAAGCTTTCTTTGCAACACTCTATGCATAATTAATGTAAGGGGTTATATGGAACTCTTGCCCACTTTTATTTTGAGATTTTCTAACCTAAGTAAGTGCTCCCTCGCACCTAATTTTCACAGCTCATTTGTTAACTCTGTATGATGGAAACAATCATAGTATAATAATTGCAAAAATGAAATGAAAAATGTGATCATTTTAGTTTCATTTGACAAAGGTATGTTTATGTAATGAATTGGGGTAAGGGAGACTCTGATGAATGGTCACTGAGCAATGCAACAGGGATTAAAAACATTTGGAAGATAAAAAACATAATGAAGGCTATAATGTTATCAGTGTTCTTAGCCAGGGTACTTTACTTTCACAATGCTTTTCACCCAAGAGGCAGATTATCTTTACGATATTTCAATTTTGGGTTTCAC